CCGACCTGCTACGTTAATGGAAACCTTCGCCATGGCCGAGCATATGAGACCCGTTTTGATGACACACCAACCATAGGCAAATTGTGGTCTCGCGCCCACAACACTCCACATGCTCACATACCCAACCTAGCCACAATCAAACAAACCGATCCAATTCAAATCCAAATAACCCATCAAACAATACCGCAACATCGTTACCACCACTCTTACCCACACCACACTCAAACCCCGCCGTGCGGAACATGCCCTCTCGCCGAACTCCGAGACCGCCGTTCAAAAGGTCTCTGTTTTAAATGTGATGAGAAATGGAACCCATCTCACCGATGCCAAAACCGCGTGCTTATCCTCATGGGAGCGGATGAAGAGGAACCCCCACCGAATCCGAGGATAACTCAATAGATGATGTCTCGGGTGACATATCCAACCTTCACTCCTTGTCCAACCAGCTCCAAAGTCGATCCTTGCGTGTTTCCTGCCTTTATAACCAAACAAAATTCACCATCCTCATTGACAGTGGGAGCACTCACAACTTTATCAAGCCTGCGTTAGTGGAACGATTGGGGTTACCTATCAAACCATGCCCTCGTTTCAAGGTCGCAACTGGTTGTGGAACCTTCTTGGTTTGTCAATTTTGTTGCCATAATGTCCCTCTTATCTTACAGGACATTAAATTTGAGGTGGATTTGTTTATCCTGAACATTGAAGGTACCCACGGATGACATTACCTACGGATAATATCCGTAGGTAATGGATAATTACTCACGGATAGAATTCCGTAGGTAATATCCGTAGGTAATGTACACTTTACCTACGGATAATAATTACGTAGGTAATTACCTACAGAATTATCCACGGATTACATTACCTACGGATAATATCCGTAGGTAATGGATAATTACCTACGAAAAGAATTCCGTAGGTAATATCCGTAGGTAATGTACAATTTACCTACGGATTTTCATCCGTGGGTAATATCCGTAGGTAATGTAAAATTTACCTACGGATTTTTATCCGTAGGTAATAGGCTTTTTTTTTTAGTGCAATCCATACAAAAATCAGGAAACAAGAGAGAAGAAGTTCAAATATACATCAAAAATTGATGATGAAGTCAAGGAAGAAAGTTTACTTGGGTGCTTACTTATATCAGTAAGTATTTAAGCATATGAAATTATTCGCATTAAATTTTATAGTGTATTCTATGTATCCTAACTTTTTGTAATGTAAGCAAAAATCATTGGCAACTGTTGGTTGTTTGCCCAAAGGAGAATGTTGTGGCTTGGTTATGCTCATTGGGTAAGATACCTGATGTAGATATTAAATGCATTGTAAACAGGTACACATTCTTATAATAATTTAAACAATTATTACTCGTTTTGTTACTTAATTGTTTCATTATATTTTGTATTGCACAGTGTATTTAAGGTTTGCAATACAATTGATGGAGTACACACAAGAAAAAACACGACTCCAAATTGGATTTTTGTTAATGTAAGTCATTTTATATTTATGTATTATATCATTCATTTTATATGTCAAATTAATATATTATTTTTTGTAGTGTAATAGGCAACCAGGATCTTATGAGTGCGGATATTATGTTATGCACTCGGATGTGGCCGATTGTTGTTAGCAAGACTGAGGATACATGGAATCAGGTTTGCTTAAATTTATTATTCAATTAAATTAAATATTGTGTTATTGGATACCCTGTTAAATTATCTTTTTTCTTGTAACAGGTATTTTCAAACAGAGAAGCGTTGGCCATAGAGACCATTGAAGATATTAGAAACACTTGGGCCGTTAAGTTTCTTAAAGTTAGAAGTAGGCAAGTTTAGTAGTTAGTTTAGTAGTTACATTAGTAGTTAGTTTAGTAGTTAGTTTAATAGTTAGTTTAGTAGTTAGTTTACTAGTTAGATTAGTAGTTAGTGTATATGTTAGATAAGTGTAGTTGGATACATATTCTAAGTATTGTACTTTGTAATTTTGGATACAATTATATTTTTGGATGCACATTCAATTAGTTTATATCTTGTATACTGTCTGCCTGGATTGTATTCAAATTTGCAGGTACATTGTATACAAACATTGGGATGTCCTGTATAAACAAAGCGATCATTTAAAAAAAAAATAGACTTTCTACGTCGGTTGTGTCAATAACCAACGTAAAAAATAATACAATCAACGTCAGTTTTTGCCATAACCGATGTAGTTAAAACCCAAATGCAGTGTTCCTTATATTCAGCGTTTCTACGTCGTTACCCGACGTTGAAAGTGTAGACTTTCAACGTCGTCGTATACAACATCGATTGTAGAATCGCCGTTGAAGGCCTTATATAACCGACGTTGAAAGTCTTATCTCGTAGTAGTGTTGTTGCATTAATTTTTAGAATATTTTTGGATTATTGAAATACTTAAATAAAATATTAATTGTTTAAAATAATTTTTCTTGGAAAATCTCATATTACATCATAAGTTAATTTTTTTATAATTATTTTATCAAATAATTTATAAAAATAAATAAATCAAAATAAATAAGTAAAAGAAAATAAATTTTTAAAATTTATTAAAAAATTCAATAAAATAAAATAAATATTTAATTAATTAAAAATAATCTGGCTACATAAATTTATGTTTTATATTTTTTAAAATAAGAAACAAAGAGTTGCATTTAAAATACACTTATATATAATAATAATAATAATAATAATAATAATAATAATAATAATAATAATAATAATAATAATAATAGTAATAATAAAATACGTATTTGTATGAATCAATATTAAAAATAATTTTTTTTTAGTTCATGCATATACTTATTAAAAATAAATTATAATAGAATAAAATTTTAAAACAAACAATATTTTAAATAAAATAATAAATTCTAATAATATTATTTCATTGATCTGTGATCATAATAATCCTTAAAAAAAGAGTTTGGTATGGTTTGGAAAAGTAAAATTAGATTTATGGTTCTCCTGAAGAACAGGTAGCCCTAGCTAAAAGTTAATACATTAAAATCTTTCATTTACATGAATAGTTAGTTAGCATAAGATACTTTAACATATATTTATTCTAGAATTGCACATCATAATAACGAATAGAATAGCGTAATAAATAGTCCAAATGTTTAAAATTGTTTTGTATAAACATTATACATAAATTAAATTTCGAAATAATAATATTTCGAATATATAAAATTTATATTTTTTAAAATAAATGAATTGATTTTAAAAATATTATTTATAATACTTGCAATTTATTTCTATTGTTTAATGTCTTTCTTTTATGAATTAAAATTATTTCAAATTTATTTATATTAAGTATGTTAAATGATAAATTATTGAGTATGCTGATAGTGATATTTCTTGAAAAACTTAATTATAAAATTTTCATAAAACATAATTTCGAAGTTGGTGTTGATTTATTACATTAAATTAAATTTTGATTACAAACTTCACCTTAATATACTTTGAAGTTTTTTTGTCATGAATATGGTACCTAATTAGACTCATCTCTATGAAGATTCGAATCCGAAAAATAATTAGTTATAATAATTAGTATAAATTATTTTTAACTTATTTAAAATATTATAAAAAGTATGTATTAAATTTATAATATTACAATTATAAATATTAATTTCTTCACAAAAAGCTTAATCAAATCTAACCGCTGTAACAAGTTGACAACCTTTTTGTTCTTCCAAAATAAGATTTTGTTTATATATATATATATATATATATATATATATATATATAATTTAAAGAAATAAATATTATTTACTGTAAAAAAATTCTTAAACAATGTAATTTTTTTAATATAGTGGAACAATGACAATCCATCATCATGTCGATGTCGAAAATTATTTGTTCTCTTTAACACCCCTCTCCATTTTTTGTCCTCCTTTTGATGACAACCCTTCAATTAGTAAAAGGTCATACTATTTGGCTTTTCATGAAAGGTCAAGGAATGAAATTGAATTTTTATACATAAAATATATTAAGTAAAAAATAGATTAAAAGAGTAATTTAACCTAAATATTTATCTTTATAATTTTAATAAATAAACCATTGCTGTGTCAAATTTTATTTGTTATTACTTTTTCAAATTATTTGTAATTTAGAATATGAAAAAAATATTAATCACTTTTGTTCAAATTACCAAAACCCTCGACAAATAAATTCACTACTAGATTTATATCCGTAAAGTGTAGTTAATACGAGTATTTTAATCAAATAAGATTGTTTTATCATGAGAATATAAAGTGCAATAAATTGCTTTCTGGTATTATTTTAATCAAGTTTGTTTTATTCATGATAAAATGTGTATATATTACTTTAAATCAAAAATAAAATGAGACAAAATAGTTATTTATGACGTAATATACTCATCTAATTTATAAATTGTCAAAGTATAATTTAATTATTTATTTCAAAAATAGCAATATTAATTTTCGGAATAGTAACAAATATGATAATGATCATGACGACAAAAATCTAAGTTAAAAATTAAAAAGAAAAAATAATACACTATCATTATAAATTTTATTACACATAATAATTTGTTTCTAGATTTCACTGAAGAAAACCTATAATACGCCTTTTAATTAAGTTAAACTTAAAAAAACCTGCCAAAAATTGCACCTGTTCTTGAGTTCATCGTCATTGTCAATGCTCATATTTGAATATCTTAAGTTTGTAAAACATTAGTTTGATCTTCATATTGGCCTAAAGGTATAGTTAAAAAAAAAAAACTTTTTATTAAAAATTTGTTATAAAACTAAATACAACACATTTCAATAATAAAAAGAATGTTTTTTTTTTTAATTTTTAACCATTGGTTCAAACACAAAGAAGAGAAATCCAATATTAAATCGTTAGTAAGATTCTTTCCTACTTGAACTAATTGATATTGAAGCATTTGTCACCACTATAAAGCAAGCTACCATTAACACTTCCTCATAACTACAACAAATCTCAGAGACTTCACAGAAAAAGAAAATGGATGAGCAAGAAGGTAGTGAAGAAAACAAATTAAGCCAAGAATGTAAGGAGTTAATTATCTCTCTTCCAAGAGAGAAGGGTTGGATAACACCTTGTCTCTATTTATTCCAAGGCTTTTGGCATTCATCAACTGAAATCCAAGCCATAAAAACTTTTCAAAATCACTTCCAAGCTAAAGACAATGATATTATTGTTGCTAGTGTTCCAAAATCAGGCACCACTTGGTTGAAAGCCCTTACCTTTGCCATTGTCAGACGCCAATATTTTCGTTCCTTAGAGAACCACCCATTACTTGTTTTCAATCCCCATGAACTTGTGCCTCCATTTGAATTTGTCATTTACGATGAAACTAATAGCCAAATTCATGAGCTTTCCAAAATGCCTGAGCCAAGACTTTTTGGTACTCATGTTCCATTTACTTCACTGCCCAAATCAATTAAAGAGACTAATTGTAAGATCATTTATATTTGCAGAAACCCATTTGACACTTTTATATCTACCTGGGTTTTTGTCAACAAAATTATGCCAGAGTTTTGCCCTACATTATCTCTGGAGGAAGCATTTGAAAGGTACTGCAAAGGGATAATTGGATTTGGTCCATCTTGGAACCATATACTAGGTTATTGGAGAGAGAGCATTGGTAAACCAGACAAGGTTTTGTTCTTAATGTACGAAGATATTAAAGAAGATGCTATTTTGAATATGACAAAAATAGCAGAATTCTTGGGTTGTCCTTTCAGTAAAGAAGAGGAAAGTAGTGGAGTGATTGAAAATATAATGAAGTTGTGTAGTTTTGAGAATATGAAGGAATTGGAGGTAAACAAATTTGGAAGCATGGGCAAAGACAGGATAGTTCAGAATAAGTATTTCTTTCGGAAGGCAGAAATAAGAGATTGGGTAAATTATCTCTCCCCTTCCATGGTTGAAAAATTATCCAAAATCATAGAGGAAAAATTAAGTGGATCGGGTCTATCATTTCGAATTTGATGTGTTTTAAGATGGGATTATTTTTTTAATGAATCTTGATAAAGTTAAGTTTAAATATATGTATAAATATATACGAAATTTATAATTTTATATTACTTTTATGATAAAAATAAATATTAAAACTTACAAGATTCTTTCCTTTTTCCTATCTACATTTCCTTTCTCTCTTATACTAAAATTGATTTTACTTTTTTTTAAACCATTAATTATCTCAATTTATGAAGAGATAACTTATCTTAAAAAAAAATTATTTTAGATAACATTTTAAAATATATTTTTTATTTTATTATTTTTTTAGTATTTTTTATTTTTTATAAAACAAAAAATTAATATTTTATTATAAAAATATTTCATTTATCTAAAAATATTATAATTTAATATATTATGAAAAAATTACGTGATAATTCATCCTGTGTTAATATAAACTTAACAATATATAATAGTTATATAACTTTATTTTTGCCATAAGTGGTTTTAGGTGAAGAAAATAAATAAAAATATCATAAATTAAAACTGACTTGTATTGAAGTTATTTTTAATAGTTTTTATGAATGCATTTATATTTAAGCTAATTATAATTTATAAAATTTCGTTAGATGTTTCCTCTCACTAAAATAGCTAGATAAGTTTATCCAAGTGATATGGCACAAATGTTGTATCTTGTCTTATTTTTTTGGAATAAAGTGGCGTAAAAAGTACGAAAGACAATGTGGCTACCTCAATTATCACAAAAGACAAATTGATGGGAAATTGTATTTTAGTTTTATAATTATCTTTATTTCTTTTAAGCTTTTCTCATAAAATGGCTTCTTTTATTTTGTGAGATTGTAATATATATTATAAAAGGTTAAGTTACTTGTTTAGTTTTTATATTTATGTAATTATTTCAATTTGATTTTAATATCATTAAAAGTTTTCATTAAATCCCTCAAATGTTATCACTCTTCCCTCTTTCTATTGTTTATTAGACAGAGAAAATGTTCATTATAAATAATAACCGTAAACACCTATTTTTCCTATAAAATACATAAAATAAATGAAAATTTTTAAATAAACTAAAATTTAAAAAAACTGAGAAAAACAATAAAAAGAAAAATATATATTTTCTTTGTCCATGGAGTCAGTCCCATTTCCCATTTTCATGTTTCACCCACTCCTGCCAGCCAACCACCAACATACCAACATGTCAGTTTCCATCATGCCAGTCTCCAACACATCAGGCTCCAACACGTCAATCTCCAATAGGCCAGTCTCCAGCAACATGGCCCTTGCTCCAACACGTCAGTCTCCAACAACATTGTCCTCCATGTTACCAAAGATTGTTCAAAAATCACGTTTTACGTCACCGAATCATCTTATGTCAAAATATTCAACGTAAATAAAATGTGGTGACAATTTTATAAATAAGAGGTGAAACTTTTACGTCGCATATTATAAGAGGTGATATAAAAAACCTCTTTTACATCGCACCTGGTACAACGTGACATAAAAAACCTCTTTTACGTCGCGTGGGGTGTGCGCGACGCAAAAAGTGATAATTTTTACGTCATGTAGGAGGTGCGTGACGTAAAAAGTGATACTTTTTACGTCGCGCACCCCCATGCGATGTAAAAAGTCATCTTTTACGTTATGTTGTACAGGTGCGACGTAAAAGAGGCCTTTTACGTCACGTGCTAGGGTGTGTGACGTAAAAAGTGCCTTTTATTCTCTTTTAGACCCACTCCCACATCTCGTGCGCTGTAAGAGTTTTCGAGAATGATGACGAGAACGACGACGACAACTACTTTTTCACACCATTTTCGATCATTTTGATAGTGAAGAACATCAACATTGTGTCTCATTTTACGAATTTGACATTTCTCCCCGATTGAATTCGAGTTTAAAATCGTTTTCGTGTTTACTCAAGGTTAGTATTCTATGTCTCCTAATATATGTTCAAATTGAATCCGTGATTATTTTTGGGGATATTAATCACGTCATTGTATGAATGTCTCCACTGGATTGTTATTGGAATGTCATTATTTTGTTTGAGTGCATTTTCGGTTTACACACTCCATTTACGTACTTTGTTGTTTGTATATTAATTTATTTTTAAATATAAATTTTGAATCTCTAGGAGTGACGAAACTTTATAACATAATATGAATCGCAGTTGGATGAATGCACGTCGCATTAGTGAAGAGTACGAAAAGGGAGTTGATGAATTTTTGAAATTTGCTAGTGAAAATGGAAAAGGTATTGAATAATATATTACTTTTTTTCATTTAGAATCGTGTCTAGAACTGATATTCTAAGTGGAAAACCCGAACAAAGACTTTGCAGCTCATTTATCCTAAGGTTAGAAACTTATTATAATAAGTGAATACCATAATTATTGTTTGTATTTAAATTTTGAAAATAACATTATATTTTATTCATCATTTCAGTGTAATAAGCAAACAGTGCTCATTTGAATGTGGTTACTATGTTATGTATTGGATGAGAGTCATAGTTTGTGCGGTATAACTCGATTCTTGGATGGAGGTAATTACTTTCAACATTAGTTAAGTTTATTTAAATTTATGTGTGTTGCATGTTTACAAGAGTCAAATTAATGTTTCAGGTATTTCAAGATCCATCTCCATTGTCAGAATATGATATCACACAAATTAGAGAATAATGGGCAAGGTTTTTCATTCAACAATTCTAGTACTTAATTTTTTAGGTTATTGTTCATATTATATTGTGTGTATTATGTAGTTTAGGTAGCTTAATTTGTACTAACTTTTAGTTTGTAATAGATTTTAGTTTGTAGGTTATTATCTCGTATTATATTGTTTTATTATGTAGTTTGAATTATATATAATATTCTATTTTTTAATTACATAGCTAAAGAAACCTGAACATTTGGACTGTTTGGTTATAATATATATTTGCAGGTTTTGGTTGTACGACAAAATAAACCCAATTTTTTTTTAAAAGGAGCAAATTTACGTCGCATATTGGTATATGCAACATAAATTTACATTGCGTATACCAATACGTGACGTAAATTTGCTCCAAATTTTTTAATTTTTGATACTTTTTACGTCTGTTTAGTGTAAATACAACGTAAATTAACGTCGAGTCTCGATAAATGACGTGAATTTACATCGAGCTAAGGGTCCGACATAAATTTACGTCTTCTGTTTTAACGTCAGTCTTAAATGCGACGTAAAAAACCCAAAATACCTGACATAAAAACTCCTTTTTGCACTAGTGTCATGTATATATATGATATATAATTTAACTGTGTTAGGGTCATTATTTATTAAGCCAAATAATAAAGTGATCTGATTAAATTAAAAAAATTTGACTAAATGCATATGTCATGAAAATAAAATAGAGACTATAGAGCAATTTCTAATTTGGTGAGGGGCCAAATTAGAAATACTAAAACTTAAGTAATTAACCTAATTCTGGTTATTTTAAGGGGTCATGGTCCCTTTCTAAGAGCACACACAGACAGAATGTAAGTTTCACTCCCGTTCCTTTCTTTCTATCCCCATCAAGAGAGAAAATCAAGAGGGAAATACAGGTACTCTTCAGGTGGAAGACCATAAAGATCAATAGTGCTCTATAAGAATATCATCATTATGGCTAATTCAGGTACGCTTTCGCATTTAGTTTACAACATGTTTATGAGTATGAGATTTTGTTTATGTTAGGGATGACAAAACGGCCCAACCCGCTCTGTTTTGGCCCGTCCCGCCTTTGGCCCGCCAAAAGCGGAGAGGGGCGGACTGACCCGTTATAGTCATGACTAGTCAGAGACCATGGCCCGCCCCACCAAGAGGTTGGTTGGTGGACTCGCGGCTGATACGTCATAATTTAGATAAAAATAATTTATTTTTTAACATACAAATTTTCAATATATTTAATAATAAGATTATTGTTTGTTTGTCAATAATTCAATATATATATATATATATATATATAATTTCAATTTAATAATATAAATCAATACATTGTTTTTAGAAATTATAATTTAGAACAATAATAAATTTACATAATAATAAATAATAACAAATATATATATATATATATATATATATATATATATATAAAGTTAAAACTTATAAAATTTATTTTTTATTTGATAAAACTTCACATTGGTTGAGTAATTCTTACACCTTTAATTCAAGTCATAAGGATAAAAATAATCGATGCTTAAGATGAACAATGAGAAGATGAGAGAGAAGGTTGTGTTTAAGTAAGGAAAATATTTTATGTGAGAGTGAAACTTTTTTAATTCTCTTTTTAAAATTTTTAACTTTATATATATCTTTATAATTAACTTTATTACAATAAAAAAATATTTTTTTATTAATTAGGCGGGTCGTAGATCGACCCGCCTGTCTCCTGCGGTTGGTCTCGGCAGGTTGACGAGGCTTGGAGGGGTGGGCTGGCTCGCCGAACCTGGCCTGTTTTGCCATCTCTAGTTTATGTTTCATCATTAGAATGAAAATGTGGATTATAATTAATTACCATTTACCTAACAATTGGTATCAAAGTAACCTATACTTGATTCATGTTTGTCTTTGAAAATTACATTTAACAAAATTTAGATTCTGTTTAATTCAGAACCCTAGGTGGAGAATAATCTCCAATTTTCATAAACCCTAAATTCAAATTTGGGGAAAATTCCCCATTTTAAACCTAATTTCGAATTTGGGGGGGGGGGGGGTAAAATCCCCAATCTGCTCCTGGTCGTTGATCACAAGTCCGAACAAAGATTGGAAAAGTAATAGTGAGGGGCTACGAAGGTGGTGTTTTGCGAGAAGATATTTTGGACCAAACCCAAATGGCTCCAATGGTTCCGATAGGAGATGATTGTAGTGGAGAGTTAGGTGTATTGCTTCTGACTATAAATACACTGATTATTAGTTGCTACCATCATTGGTACGAGGAATTGGTCTTGGCTTTGGGGTCTCGGAACCCATGCTCTGTTGTTATGTTGGGGTGGCTATGATGGTCAACAGAGGGAATTAATGTGCTTCGAATCACGTGCACTTTTGTCACATGAGTTGAAGTGTTAAGGTTTTCGACATTGAAATTAAGGGATTAATACTTCTAATGGAAAATTCTTGCTTTACAAATGGCAGGTGATCTCCGCGCCATTATAATTTTTTTAATAAATAAATAATCAAATTCTGGTTTTGTTTAATATTTTACACGAGTTAATTAAATTAAGAAATCACTAAAGCAGTCTCTCTTATATAAACTTATTTATAGAAAAATATTAAATATTTGGTTTTGTTATATAATATTCAAATATTTTGGTAGTTTAATATTTTTTTGAGCAAATTGAGTCAAGAAGTCACCAAAGTAACCTCTCTTGAATTGAGTAGTTCATAATAAAATATTGAATGTTAGTGTTTGTGTATGTTCATGCGAGTATTAGTCGGCTCAAAGGAAGATTAATATTTGGTCGAATCGCATACACACTTGTAATGATAAATATGTGATAATTATAAGGATTTACTTTGTCGATGATAAATCAATCCAAAGACTAGTTTGTTGTTGGACGTGCTTTATTGTCAATGTTTGATTATTACAACAAGATACCTCTAGCAGTTAATATTACTCGTCCAAAGACTTGATATTAATGATGGATTGCGTGTCTTGAGATGGGTTAAACCATTATTTGAATATATATTTTATTTATTATTATTTAATTTTATAATGTGAGCATAATTAATTTATTTCTCTTGTTCTTAATTCAACTACAATTGCTTTTGTATTTGCCAATTTAAATTCTGTTTCGATCCTCAAAAGTATGTTTCCTACTTTGGTCTGTTCTGAAGTCAATTTAGCGTCAGTACCTAGTAACACTTGGTGGTTAGACTCAGGTGCAACCACTAACATCAGTCTTTCTATGAAGGGTTGCCTAAGCTACCGGGAGCTAATTGATTATGAAAGATGGATATATGTTAGAGATGACAAATCGTAGTACTAGTTTTTATTTGGATTTGAAAGACACTTTTGTTGTGTCTTCATTTAGACGAAATTTGGTTTCAGTTTCTTATTTGGACAAATTAGGTTATTTTTGTTCATTTGGAAATAATAAGTTCAGTTTATCTTTTAATTTAGATATTGTTGGAACTGGTTAACTTTTACCTTATGATAATTTGTATTTACTTGAT